GTGTGTGTGTGTGTGTGTGTATGTGTGTATGTATATACATCAGCAGCAGCAGCAGCTGGGCATGTGGTATGCAAGTTTCCTGCAAAGACAGAGAGAAGGGGTGTGTCCAGAGCAGGAGCGGCCCTCTGATTTTCAGGGTCATCACACATACAGCCCATGCTCAGAGACCTCTCTAGCTTTGTAGGACCTGTCCAAGGTGGTGCTCCCTGACACAGGCTTTGGGAGTCACCAGTCACTTCTCTACCAGAGGGTGGGCCTGGAGGAAGCCCAAGGTGGAGATCCCCTTTCCTTCCTCACCTTGGAATGGTGACACCACCCACACACTAGAGGCCTTCCTCAGCTAATTTTCCCATCCTACCGACACAAGCATAGCTCTTGGAGGAAATTCTAGGCTTCTGATAAGTTTCTCCCTCCCACAAATTAAGGGCATTTGGTGCTTCTCACAGCAGAGCAGAACACTTCAAATGAGAGTGCAGGGGAGATGGGCTATACAGTCAACAGGACCTGTTCTTGCACTCCCTTCCTCCTTTGAATTCCTCTCTTTTGGTCAATTCATTAGCCCTATGGTCAGCATAGTTTAGAGCAGAGGTTCTTAACCTAGAAGGGTTTATGTGTAGATTTCACGGGATCTTGGAACTTGGAGGGAAAAAAAAAACTTAAATCTTTATTTTCACTAACCTTTAACTGAAATTTAGCATTTTCTTCAACAGTAAACAAGATTTTAATACCTATTCTTCTGAGAAGTAGTCCATGCCTCACCCCCTCCCCAAAGTTAAGGACCCCTGGAATCAGAGTTAAGGGATCCTTTTGTGACCTTGAGCAAGGTTTTTAATTTCTCTGGGCCTCAGTTTTCTCTGTCTGTCAAAGGAGGGGCTGGACTTGATGGTTTCCTTTCTTTCTTTTTTTTTTTTCTTTTGGCAAGGCAATAGGGTTAAGTGACTTGCCCAGGGTCACACAGCTAGCAAGTGTTATATGTGTCTGAGGCCAGATTTGAACTCAGGTCCTCCTGACTCCAGGGCTGGTACTCTATCCACTGTGCCACCTCACTGCCCCTTGTTGGTTTCTAAAATCCCTTCCAAGTCCTGCCTTCCGTGAACTTCAATAAAAGGAGGACAGGGCACAACAATCCAACTCTGGGGTGGGAAACCTTCAGCCTCAAGGTCACGTGTGGTCGTCTAGGTCCTTGGGTACGACCCTTTGACTGAATCTAAATTCAGTCAAAGGGCTACCCATGAAGACCTAGAGGGCCACACGTGGCCTCGAGGCAGCAGGTTTCTCACCCCTGCTCTATACTATTTCACTGTTCAGTTTTGCTTCCAGGGCAAGCGACACTCAGTTGCCAACCCTCATCCTAAGTTGGGATCATCTTTTTGGATTTCTGTTATTCACGTTGCTGACCTTTGGTCACATTGCCGGGGTACTCTCTGTATGGTGAATGGCACAACAAAAGCGATGTAGGCACTCGGGTACATTTGGCTTCCGAAACCTAGGCGAGCGTGGATGAGCAGACCTGGGGAGCCTGCTGCAAACAGGAGGGAGCGTGGCCCATTTCCTCCCTCCAAGATCCCTAGGGCAAGAAGAACGGCTTTAGTGCCTCCATAGGGTCATTGAGAAAACAAGGCCATTTGTCTAATTAGATGCTCCAGAAGAATGAATGTAGCCCAGTTAAAAGTCCAGGGAAGTCTTACAATGAGGCCATTTTCAAATCATGGCTGCATTTAGCTTGGTGCTAATGAGACAAGACTATCTTGCTGCTGCTTTCCTCGGAGCATTTATGGGCCAAGTAGCCACTCCATTTCTTCTGCCCACTTCAAGTCAGCAGGTGCAGCCTGTAAACCCTGAGATCGTTGACGGTGCTTCGTTTGCTTGGGGAGGGGGGAAGAGAAAGAAGGATGGGAAAGATGCTGCAGATTCAGGCTCGTGGGACTGAGGAGGATTACAGTCCGAGGCTCCCCTTCCCACTAGCCAATCAGGACCATGGCAGCTGGCTACTTCAGGAGGAGACTTAGCAGTGTTCATCCCTGGAGGCTCAGCACTAACTTGGGGAGGAAGCAACCAGGCACAACACCCTCCTCCCCCAGAGGAGAGAAAGAATTTAACTATTCGTTTGGGCTGTGGCAACAGCCACCTTTTAGGGATTCTGCTGTTCACCCTCTTCCTTTACCAATCTGTCCTCCGCACCGATGCCAGAGTGAGTTCTTTCCTACACAGATTTGGGCATGTCACTCCTGCTCACAAATTTCAGGGGCTTCCTATTGCCACCCACCAAAAAAATCGGAATGATAATAATGTCATTCAGTCCCGTCTGACTTTTGGTGTCCCCATTTGGGGTTCTCTTGAGTGGTTTGCCATTTCCTTCTCCAGTTTATTTTTTCAGATGAGGAAACTGAGGCCAAGAAATGTTAAGTGACTTGCCCAGGTCACACAACTAGTAAGTGTCTGAGGCCACCTTTGAACACAGGAAGAGGAGTCCTGAGGCCCTGAACCCTATCCACGGTGTCACCTAGCTGCCCAATAATAATAATAGCTACTGTTTACATAATACTTCAGTATTTGCAAAGCGCTTGAAACATTATCTTTGCTCTTCACAGAAGCCCTGTGAGCTTGGAGGTGTTATTATCCCCATTTTACAGATGAGGAATGTAAGTCAGGGATTTCAACTCGAGTCTTCCTGCCTCCAAGTCTAGCACTCTGGTGGTGTCAAACAAGAAGAAAGGGATCCCTGCCTTGGGTTGCATGCAGATTTGACTTAGAAAACCACAAAAGAATATTATCTAGGTTGTATTGTACTTTTATTTGTTAAATATTTTCCAGTTACATTTTAATGTGGTTGAATTTGACACCTCAGCACACCACCCCGAATAAAAAAAGCAACCACTGGCTCATGGCCAGGAATAGGGTATAACTGACAAGAGCTGGCAGGAAATCGATTTGCTTGCACTATTGCAAATATTATCAAGAGAGCTTTAAACTGAAAGTGGAGAGAGAAAGGACAGAGTCATTCCCATATATCTGCCAGGCCAGCTACCACACAGAGCAGCAGCTACAGATCAAAGGAAGAGTTGCTCTCCAGAGAGCCCCAATAGCAAACAGGAAACAGTATCCAAGTGAGGAGCTAGCAATCCTGGAAAAAAACCTTTAGAGAAGTGCTTCCTGGGGCCAGGCATTGTGCTAAGCAGGAGGAGGGTAGGGGGTGGGAAGCAGAACAGTCCGCCTTCAAGGAGCTTGGCAGGGGGGGGGGGGGATTGTAGGGGGATGTGCTGGTAAATCTTTAACAATGGGGTCTCCAGGAAAAAAACCATTCAGGGCACACTTTTAAATTTTATCTGCATTATTAACATTTTCTCTATCACTTTCTTAAGTCTAGACAATTGACAAAACAATAAATCAAGCCTCAATTTGTAGCTTTTGTGTATTCTGTAAGTGTAAATGCTAACACTGAAAATTTAACAATCAGTTTTCCTAGGAACCTCTTTGAGCTGGCTCTAGCACACCCCAGGGAGGGTCAGAGGAGCAGGATCTACTAGGGTCTGAATCTCTGCCATGTAAGACAGGCTGGTTATTTCTGAAAGGGGCAAGGAAATTGTCTTTGACAAGCACCCTTGGTGATAGGATTTCTTGGTAGTCTCAAGCTGCTATTGATCTGACTTCCTGGTCATCTAAGGACATAAAAAAGGCCTGGCCATATGGAGCTGAGCCCTTCACACTTGGTAGGCATGAGTCACTACACTCTGCCCTGCTAACCCAAGGCATTTCTGTATGGAGAGGAAGGGTCCAATTCTATACTTCATTGTATGAAGAGGAGGGGGATCTGGGTGGATCCAGAGAAAGCCAAATTCTATAATCCTTGTTGAGTTTCATTAATCTTAAAGGCAGGTAGGTGGTACAGTGCCTGGAGTCTGGAAGACCTCAGTTCAAATCCAGCCTCAGAGCCTTCCTAGCTATGTGACAGGTCACTTAAGCACTATTTGCCTCAGTTTCCTCATCTGTAAAGTGGGGATAATAATAGCACCTACCTCCCAGGGTTGATGTAAAGATCAAATGAGATAATAATAATAAAGCGCTTAGCACAGTGCCTGGCACATAGTAGGTGCTATAGAAATGTTAGCTATTATTATTATTATTATTATTACTAGCTAACCTTTATATTGATTGGGCTTTTCACAATTTACATTTTAAAAATGCCTTTTACAAATATTATCTCATTTGATTCTCACAACAACCCTGGGAAGTTGGTATTACTACTACTACTACTACTACTACTACTACTACTACTACTACTACTACCACCACCCTAAGGTCGACAGTTTAAATACCCAGGGTTCCACAGCTAGCTTCTGAGACAGAATTCAAACTCTGGTCTTCCTGACTACAAGTCCTGTGCTCTATTTATTGTGCTATCTAGCTGCTAGAACTACTGATCTAGTCCAAATTCTTATTTTACAGAAAAGGAAACTGAGTGCTAGAGGGGATGGGGCTTACTTGTCACAAATGTAAGAAGTGGTCAGGCAGGAGTTAACTCCAGTCCCCTTACTCTCTATGCCCCGGCAGACTTTCCTTCAGGAAAATGAAGGGGTTGGACCACATGTGAAGTCTAAGGGTTCTTCCAGCCCCAAATCCCGTGGTTTTCCCAGGTGAGGGTGCGAGTTCAGGAAGGCCTAACGGATGACGCAGGCCGGGACAGAGGGGAGTAAAGTTGTCTGCCCTACGTGCTGGTCTGGGAGCGACTCCAAAGAACTAGTTAACAAAAAGAGCCCAGGAGTGACAGGTCCTGGAGCCAATGGCGCAAGCCCATGGGCGGAGCGGACTGAGCCAGAGGCCGTTGGGCTGAAGGAGCCTAGGGGAGCTGGGCGGGGCCCGACCTGGGGTGAGGGGGCATCGGGAAGGGGAGGGGGAGGGACTCCTGGAGTCGGCCGGCCTGGGTCGGGCTGGACAGGGCCCGGCAGAGAAGGCGGAAACTGACCGGGGGGGGGGGGGGGGGTCGGGCGCGTGCTGTTCCCGCTGGGTGCCTGTGGCCTCCAGTGCCTTTGGGCTCTCGCGACGGGCCCCGTTGTATGGCCAAGGAGCTCCGGCGGCTGGACGCCATGCCCTGTCATAACCAGCAGCTCGCGGCCACCGCCTCCCAGTGTCCCGAGCCAGCAAAACCCGGTGGCGGGCCAGGGCAGGACCAGGCGGGAGGCCTGGCCAAGCTGCCTGCCAACGGCGCCGTGGTTGGGCCGGCCGGGGACAGGGCCGAGGGCCCCCAGCCGGAGGACCGCGAGCCCGAGGACCTCTTCTTCTGCCAGCTCGGCCCGCAACTCAAACTGCTACCCATGAACGACCAGATTCGGGAGCTCCAGACCATCATCCGGGACAAGTGAGCACCGGGGAGGGGGAGGGGGGAGAGGCCATAGACCCAGAGCTGCCTCCGCCCAGCCTTAGCTTGCCCGGCGTTCAGATGGGGACGACACCTGCCCCCATAGATGGACAGTGTTTTCAGCAGGCTCCAGTTTTCTAGTTAAGGGTAGAAGCCTTGTTGCCCCACTCCAGCAGCGCGCTCTGCACTCTCCTGAGAGAGGAGTTAGTTTCCCTACAAGCGCTCTTTGCGTGCCCAGGGAGCCATGTGGCACAACTTTATCCAAGTGGCCACGAGGTCCACCCCCGCTCAGCCCAAATCTCCTATCCAGGGCTGTCCATCCTTTTTGGACTTGTTGTTTCTGAAATAAACTTAGGGAGCACTTTGACTTGTAATGCTGACAGACCAGTGGATGAGACATTCCTTGGCTTTTATCTTTCACTTGGAAACATATAACTTTCCCCTTGAGGAAATTGTTCTTGATAATGACTCTAACCTCTACTGAGCCTCCCTAGAGGGCCAATGTCATGTGGGGGCTGGTCATCCTCCCTCCCTTAGTTGGTATTGCTTTACTGTAATTTTATCCCAAACTCGAACATTTACAATATATCCAGTTACTGGAGCCAAGTTTGGCCTAAAAAAAGTCCCTCATTCCCCCAAACCATCAGGATCAAAGCCTCCTGGTCTGTTAACATAAGACTTTAAGGATGTTTGTAAACTTCAGCATAAAAGAGTTTTAAGACATTTCAGCTGGCCCTCAAGTGCCAATGTCCTTTTGTTATACTGTTGGGCTATATGCTGGCCTACTAGGCCAAAACGAGATCCTTTTACTTTTGAGGGGTATGTCAATTTTTAAGCCCTGCATGTTTCCATCTGATAACACTTTTAGACATAACCAGGTAGTTAATGAAGAAGGTTCACCTATCCCCCACCCAGCTTTATTGGTGGGCTATTCTTGCAGTTAACTAATAACTATAAACATTGTCCAAAGGCAGTCTTTCGGAGTGTATTAATGGCCATTTTGGTGCTGTTGGCTGTATACTGCAAGTGTGTAAGCCCTAGTCAATGGGGTTCCTCTAATTTACCTGATGTAATTGAACCTCAGGTAATAAAGACAGTGAAGTCTAAAGGGGCCACCTCTTTCAGATTTTGGCCAGAAGTGGGAGTTTGTGAAGAATGTACAGGTTTGACTCACTTATTGCTTAGAAAGGGTGTGTTCTGTTTGTCTTGGAGAAAGGCAGAGGATTTGGCTGAGGATAGATGCCCAGAAAATATCAAAAGCAGAAGAATGAGGCTGGGGAGTCAGCTATAAAGGCACAACCCAGCTTATTTCTTCCTTCCTCCAAATGGAGGTTCAAATTCACCCCTTGCCTAAGGCAAGCAGGATGGCTTAAGAAAAAGGGAGGGGAATAAACATGCATATAGGTTTACTATGTGCCAGGCACTGTACTAAACACTTTTACAAATATCTCATTTGATCATCACAACAATCCTGGAAGGTAGGTGGTATTATTATCCCTTTTTTATAGTTGGGGAAACTGAGGCAATCGGTGGTTTAAGTGACTTGCCCAGGGTTACACAGCTAATGAATATGTGAGGTTGGATTTGAACTCAAGTTTTCCCCACTCCGAGGCAAGTAGGTGGCTCAGTGGATAGAGTGCTGGCCCTGGAGTCAGAAATACTTCCTGAGTTCAAATCCAGTCTCGGGATTCTTCTTAGCCCTGTGACCCTGGACAAGTCATTTCACCCTGTTTGCCTCAGATTCCTCATCTGCAAAGTGAACTGGAGAAGGAAATGGCAAACCACTCTAGTATCTTTGCCAAGAAAACGCCAAATGGGGCCACGAAGAGTCACTGAAAAAAAAAACTACTGAACAACAGTTTCCTGACTAAGCCCAGCACTCTATTCATTGCCTCTGAAGAAGAGGCCCAAACATGTCTCAGGCCGAGTCCATGGACATGGAGGCTCTGGGTGGCTCAGGTGCATTGCAGTATTCCAAGTATGCTCACTTCAGTTGCCATGCTCATAAATGACACGATGACATCAGAGACATCCGTACTCAAGGCATGTGAAGGTGCCAAAATTCTCAGCAGGGGTCTGACTAAGGGAAATGTCAAAAAACTTAATGGTTAAAGGCTGAAACCCAAGCAAAGCTTCTGCTTTTTCCTTGAAAGAGATCCCTCCTACACTAGGGCATCAAGAGATCGAGACTTCAGACAAGACTGGAGAGATCCAGTGGGTCCCTGTAAATGGATAAGGCACCTGCCATGTATTCCAGCTGAATCCCCAGAGTAGCATCCCCTTTGAGCTACCTCCCTTAATTCCCACTCACAGGTCAGGGACCCTGGGGAACAACTACCCTAGGTTCAAGGTACCTTAGGGGTCCACACTCCTAGAAATTACAGCTCACAAGCCACCACTGGTAAGACCCGAATTAAAAGCGGCCTCAGACACTTACTAGCTGTGTAACCCTGGAAAAGTTACTTTCCTCTCTGGGCCTCAGTTTCCTCAGTTGTAAAATGGGGAGAACAATGGCGCCTACCTCCCAGGGTTGTTGTAAAGATCAAATGACATAATATTTGTACTTAACACAGTACCTGGCACATAGTAGGCATGTAATAAATGCTATTCCCTTCCCCTTAGTGCTGGTGGTGGTGGCGGTGGCGGTGGTAGTAATAGTTCTTTGTTCCCTTTGCCTTCGTTTAAAGCAAAGGCATTTGATAGAATGGCATAGTGTGAAAAATAGCAGCAAAACCTCTCCCACTCCAACCTTGGCCCACCCTCTCATAAACACTCAGAATCCGGGGTTCAGGTGAGCAGCCAAAGAACGCTGGAGTAAAAACAACTCACCTCGGAATTGGCTGATTCTCTTCTCCACTGACCGTCCACGTCACTCGGCTTTTTATCTTCACTGGGAAGACTCTCCCAGCCCCAGGACTGACTGCCTCAGTCTCTACCAGTCCCTCAGTCAACTGTCCTCAGAGGAGTTTCCTGGTCCTTTCATATGCAAATGTATCAATCCCAGCAAGAAAGGGGAACACCTGTTTACGAAGTGCAAATGGGCCAATCAGAGTTTCATACCCTTGATTAGCCGAAAAGTTGGGCCAGGGAAAATTAAGAGAGTAGTTCCCTTAAAGCTCCTCGCCTCTGTTACCCACCCCTTACAGTCTCTGTAATTTCATCTCGTGGATTGAAGGAACGCTACTGGACTGGAATTGCCGCCACATACACAGCCCGATGTAAACTGTGTTGTTTAAGTACTGGCAAGACCTCTCGAATCAAGAGTTTGAAATTCTCAGCTCTGCCTGTTACTGGCTGTTAAAGTGAGAGGCAGGTCACTTCTACTTTGCCAAGCCTCAGTTTTATTTTCTGCAAAATGGAGTAGTAAGAACTATTAACTAAAGACCCCCTGCCTCCCATCAGGTTGTGAGAAGAGTAGTTTCCAAAGTTTTACATTTTACAAATCACTTTACTGAAAGTAGCCCGGTGAGGTAATCATTGGAAATCTTATCCCTATCTTACATACTGGAAATCATATGTGAAGCCAGAGAGATAAAGTAATTTTTTCTGGGTCTGGACTAGCTGGGACCTGAATGAGGCAGTAAGTACAGTATGGAAACTGAAGCACCCGCAACTCTTTACCCCAGACCTTTTTGGCTGAGTAATGGGGGGTGGGAGTGGGGAAGCCACAAAGAATAACTTGGGAGTGACGCATTCATCCTGAGCTATTTAGGAAAAATAAAGTGTGGTTTTTTAGGTTGGCCTGAGGCAGATGCAGATGTCATTGGGAACATAACAACATAAATAAAAATACAATAAAACAGAGATATATCACATTTGAAAACTAAGTCAGTATGTGCCCGGCAGGCATCCTTATGTACAGTTTAGTGGCCTCATTTCCATTTGAGTATAATTAGTGTAGTGGACAGATCACCAAACTAGGATTGGCTGTCAACAAGCATTTATTTCAATCAATCGGTAAGCATTTATTAAGTGCCTGCTATGTGCCAGGCTATGTATGTTAAGCACTGGGGATACAAAAAGAGGCAAAAGACAGACAGTCCCTTCCCTCAAGGAACTCCCAACCTAATGGGGGAGACAATAGGCAAATATAAACAAATTGAGCTGGGTAAATGGGAAACAATTAACAGAGGGAAGGCACTGGAATTAAGAGGGGTTGGGGAAGGCTTCCAGTAAAAGATGGGAGGAGTGGAGGAAGGAGAGCATTCCAGGAATGAGGAATGGCAAGAGAGATGGAATATCTTGTTTGTGGAACAGCCAGGAGGCCAGTGTCACTGGATCAAAGAGTATGTGTTGGGGAGGAAGGTATAAGAGTACTGGAAAGGGAAGAGGGGGCTAGAAGGCTATTGGAATAATCCAGGCGGGAGACGATGAGGGCCTACACCACAATGGTGCCAGTGTCAGAAGAGAGAAGGGGGTGGATTCGAGAGATGTTGCCAAGTTGGAATTGTCAGGCCTTGGCAACATACGGATGTGGGGGGGGGGGTTTGTGTGTGTGCACTTGTGTGTGTGTGTGAAAGAGAGTGAGGAGTTTGGGATGGACTCCTAGGTTACAAGTCTGAGGGACTGGGAGGATAGTGTTGCCCTAGACAGTAATAGGGAAGAGGGGAGGGGGGAGGGTTTAGAGGGAAAGATAAAGAGGTCTCTTTTGGACACATTGAGTTTAAGGTGTCTACAGGACATCCAGTAGGAGATGGAAAGGCAGTTGGAGATGCCAGATTGGAAGTCAGCAGAGAGACTGGGGCAGGAAAAGAAGATTTGAGAATTGTCAGTGTACAGGAGATGGAAGCTGACAAGATCAACGAGTAAAGTAGTGTGGATTAGCATAGAATAGTATGGAAGAGAAGAGGTCCCAGGACAAGACCTCGAGAGAGACACTTGCAGGAGGATCCAGCAAAGGAGGGAGTGGTAGGATAAATAGGAGAACCAGGAGAGAGCATTGGCCCTGGAAACCTAGAGAGAAGAGAGGAGTAGAAGGTTGTGAAAAGGCCATTGGATTG